TTGTGCTTTTTAGTCTTTCAACTAGTTTCATTATTACTTTAAAACGCACACAAAAAAAAAAATAAATAAATAAATATAGCCTCCACTTCCAAAAGAGCCTAAAAACAACCATGAATTGAATCTTCAAGTGATTTACTATTCTAAAATGGTCAGAATTTCATTCATGTTAAGGTAAAATGACTTTAACTTATCGTAATCTACAAAATTTTTATCTACGAAAATTCTCAGAAATGGGGCGTTTTCTCATTAAATTAATTAATTTGATGAGGTACAAAAAACTCATAATTACCCATTTTTTCCACTAAAATCGTAAGATAATTTTATTATGCATTCGAAAAAAAAAAGATGTCCAACAAAAATATTGGGCCGTTTGGCCTATATGACCTCGTTATTTTGACATGTTGAGGAGGTCAGGGCAAACGGCCCAATATTTGAAAAGGCTCTTTTTTTTCTCGATTTTGTGATCAAATTATCTTACGATTCGAATAGAAAGCAAATGGGCGTTCATGTGTTTATAGTACTTAATTAAATAGACAAAGTTTGCCGATCTCTAGAATGAAAACACCCCAATTTTCTATTTTCGTAAAAAAATAAATTAAAAAAATTGTAGGGTACTATGAAATGAAGCTATTTATTTAAGATTTAGGCGTCTGTTAATAATTTAGTCTGTACTATGGACTATAATATTAAATCAGAGAGTGATATACTATTTCAGTATGGTCAGAATTTCATTTAGATATTTGAAGTGAGAATTCTGTCTTAAGTCGTACGTTAGCTAATATTTTTTTGTTTTGATGATGCTTGAATTAGCGAAACGTAAAATCCTTAATCATTTATTCTTTATTTTTATACATTAAGACCGTTATTTCACCAAATATTTTAATTATTTTTTATTTCATCTCGACAACGTTTCAGCCAACACTAGGGCCATTTTATTTATTTTGAGAACAATTAAAACTTTCCTAATATTTTAAGGGTTCCTCAGGAGGGATTGTGAGATTCTACTATTTACATTGAAATCTTCCAATACTAATATTATTGGAGTTCTAAACTGATTTCTTTTTTTTTTTTTTGGTGTATTTTTTTTTCTTCATAACTATATATATGTACCTTAGCATATGTATATGTACGTATAATATATGTGTATAATATTTGTGCGTTTGTGTGTATATATATATATATATATATCTTTCTTTTTTTTAATTATAAATGTTAAATTGTGAAATGGATGACATATAGGACTGTACTAAGTGTCCCCGACGGTTGTTGGCAGGTGAGGAGCAGATCGAGAGGGAGGAGGGAGGAGAGGCAGAGCGCATGCGCGGCCCGGACCAATCGCCGCAGGTGCCCGCCATGGAGCTGGTGAGTGGCCAACGGGCAGGTGGTGGGGGGTCCTCTCTATATTGACTTTTCCTTTTTATTCTCTTCTTCCTTCCTCCTTCCTATATTCTATATCACCCTCTTCTTCTCTCCGCCTCTCTCTCTCTCACTCTCTCTAACCCTCTCACTCTGTCTGTCTGTCGTAGATGAATGTATCAGGAATTAGGCCGGGTTTTATATCACTCGGACGGAGTTGAGTAGGAGTGATATCTTCATCTTCCCCTCGGACCGATATTGAATATATTCATCTCTCTTTGCATGTCTCTTTTTATATTTCTCCCATATCCTCTCTCCCCCCCCCTCTATCACCCCGCCGCCAACCTGGGCCAAATCTCTTCATTTGTATTTATCATTTCTTCTTCTTAGCTTGGGAATCCATTTTCATTTGTGGAGTCAATCACTTCACATTATGATTAATGTTTCCAAGTTTTAACAAGTATTTTGTTAAGCCTATATTATATCCAGTTAATAAGATAGTAATTGTTCTTTAATTATAAAACGATGACCATTTATAAATACTTTTTATTTGTTGTTATACATTGAAAAGTTAAGATTAACATTAAGAAACAGTGAGAAATATTTTTTTATGGAATTCACAACATTATTAAATGAAAATACAACGCATAAATGTATTAGCAGAACCATGATTTAATTGTTTTGGGTGGAGAGGCTTCAGCCCGAAAGCTGTTATATGTACATATACATTTATATACAAAATTGTAATTACTTTGGAAAAAAAATAAAGTATTTATATGAAATGGTGTTGAAGTGGTTCTTGAAGTACTATTAAGTGTAATTGCACGAACAATAAAACATGATAATATTTTACTATTTTTGGAAAAGAGGGACTTTAAAAATTCCCGAAAGTTAGCCTGTGAATTTCTCTAATGACATGGACAGACTTGTAGAGAAACTACCCATTGGTAGCAATCCAATAATAGATCTATATCAGAAGTCCCGAGGCCATCTTCTTTTCAGACGCCTAGGAGGATTGTCAGGAATCGAAGAGGATAGGTCTGAAGTTTATTATGGAAGGATAGGTATCTGGATTGGGCTTAATCAGCAATGTATGGAACATTAAGGGCCTTTATGTATAATTTTATTTGTGATAAAATAGGAAGCATTTCGGATGGCATGGGAGCCGCAAAGCTCAAGTTCATAAGTATGTTAAAAAAAAAAAAAAAAAATATATATATATATATATATATATATATATATATATATATACATATATATATATATATATATATATATATATATATATATATATATATATATATACATATATATATATATATATATATATATATATATATATATATATGTGTGTATATAAAAGTGACGATATTATAATATTCGAAGGTAGAAAATGAAAATGAAAATGACAACATAAAAACAAATTCCCATCAATTTTATCATTTTTTTTTTCTTTTAAACGTTATAGCTCATAATTTTTAAAATTAATAATAAATATCAGACTTTTGAGACTAAAATTAAAAAAATCTGATATCTTTTCTCACTAAGGCAAAAAGTTGGACTTGTTTTGTTTTGCAAATAAATTACTGAAGTGCCTGAAAGTATGAAAAAAAGAAGGAAGCAAAAAACAAAACCGAAGGACATATGACATTGAGTTCTTCATAAACCGTTAATGACAGTAATAAATTTCTTTCCAATGCGGCAATTAGTGGCGCTAATTAAGTAATAAAATTCTCGATTGCTTCAACGACTCAAAAAGAATTTTAAGTGCATTTTTATTTAAGGATTACTCGAACCATTTTCTTTTAGTTGTATAGAAAATGTTTTGGCAGTGTGAGCACACTTCAAAATAATTATATTTAAAAAATATTTTTTATTATTTAATAATTTTTATGTAAGTATGGTACAATCTTTCTGATTATTTTATTTTTATAATGCTCTATCTTGTATGATTTTATTTAATTTAAAGTGACAGTGATTTTATATTAATAAATATTTTAATAAGACTGACTTAAGAATTTTGATGAATTTCTCTTGTGAAATCAAAATATAGTGTGATTGTTGACAAGTTTGACATATAAAAATATTTGTGTCATTTTAGTGCATTTACCTTTTTTGTTTTTATTATCTATAAGTAAATTCGAAATTCACATTGACGTTCTAATACGTTCATCGCTCCGTCAAAACTGAACTTGGTGATTTTCTGAAATAAACCGACGATTATCACATGTGCGGAGTCCGAGAGGAGTTAGGGTGTTCAAGGCATATTTCGCTCTTCCTCTTTCTCAATATTTCAGACACTTACATAATAAATTATTCGCAAATAGTTCAATATAATAAACAATTAATAAATATAATATATTACAACCAATTTAGTAATGAATGAGCTACTTTATATATGTCATTCTTCATCTAACCACCAATATTTCCATAGTGTGCTAATGACCATTATTAAGGATGTTATGTTATAGTTATAGTTCTGTAGGGAAGCCAATATTCCATAACAGTTAGCTATTAAAATATGTCTCTTTGTTATTAAATTTGAACCCTCGAAGTAAACAACACCATGTCTATTTTGGTATTTGTTTAGGAAAGGCAATATTCAGTAACTTTGAGCTATTAAAATTTGTTTCTTAGTTACTAAATTATTTGATAAAAAAAATGGACATTGTGTTGTCCTTTACTTCCAGAGCACAGAATGAGAAAATTCAAATCATACAGCGTTGTGCCTTAAAATGGTAGTAAAGAATAAAATAAGCTGTCAAAGGTTCGCCGATTCAAGCATCATAAGGATAGAAAAGTAAAAAAATGTCCATAACATCTAATGGCATTTGGGGGGCTTTGGGGCTGAAGCCCCCCCCAAAATGGTAAAATGTAACCATGTTTTATGGTTAAAAAATATTAAAAAATTATCTCTTAAAGTACTATTGTTCGTGTAATTTCATTCAATAGGAGTTCAAAAATCAACACCATTTCATGTATGTAGATAGTATCTTTCTTTTTTTTTAGAGTAGTTATCGTTATATATATGAAAAAAAAAAAAGCTTTCGGGCTGATGCCTCCCCCAAAATGAAATCGTTGATCCGCTAGTGAGTCTTGATGATGCTTGAATTGAGAAAACGTAGACGGATTATTTAATTTATGGGCACTTTACACAGAAGTGCCCATCCCACCATAGTCGATGGTGGTATAAGACCTTCCTCTTCCTTCTCAAGACATTATATTGCTTCTCTCTAATTAAACAATCTAAGCGAGTGTAGAATTAGAAAAGTTGTAGATTATATACAAATACGCTTGAGGTTATCTGGTACAAATTTTTTCCCTTGTTCTCCGGATTAAAACTTTTCATCCTCGAAAAAACATAAAATGTGTTCCTCTCCTCCTGATGAATTCCTTTCTGATGCACCCATGTCTTTACATACATTTTACAGACACATTCCTGTGTAGTTGGAATTGCAACCTAACATCATTTTTTTCTGTATTGTTGAGTTTTTACTTGTTTGCATTAATAATTAAGGATAACGAGATTATTTTGTAATAATTTTTGTTTTGGGGGAGAGGAGGGAAGATGTATATCTCATTTAGATTTGTAATAATTGTCGTAAAATATGGGTCAATACTATCAAAACCGAGAGGACGGTCTGTTACAACCGTACGGTACCGACGAAGATAATGTAGGTTTCTAACCCTCGAAGGAGATAGAGACGGTAGTGGCGTAGTGGTGGGGGGAGGGGTGGAAGGGTTGGAGGGGAGCGCTGCCTGGCGGCGGCCAGCGGAACCCTGCCCTCACCAGGGGCTACTCTGTTTTTTGCCGGCTTAGGGTGACGCGGTGTTGTTCTGCCGCCATGTGCCGCTGAGGCCGTTCGTACTTGTTCGCCGCTGTTCGCCGTCTTCGATGCTTCTGATGCAGAATAGCAGCGGAAGAAGGCACCAGGGCTGGGACTCGAGGTTCTGGCCTGCACCGCCTCCAGAGCACGACTTCAAGCCGGACCAGAGGATTCTCAACGTGAGTTGTATAGTGTAGTCAGTGTTGTATGTAAAAAAAAAAAAAAAAAAAGGAAAAAAGAAAAGTGTGTACCAATTACCGTTCCATAAGGTCTTCGGAGTGTCTTCTTCAAGAGGATGTCTTTGGCGGAGGAAGGTTGCGCCGATAAGCGGAACGGTCAGCAATGTCTTTTGAGGACATCCTTTATCAGTCCATGTCACCGACCATAACCTATCCCCTTGTTAACTGCCATCGACCACGCCATACTTACAGAAGTGTGTTGTAATATTTGAATTCATGCTATAAAATAATGGTTATCAATATCGTAAGTTAAATAATATTCATTGATAATTAATAATTTATTATAATTAAACTACCCCTTAATTGACATCCTCCATTAAAAATATGAAGCCAATTTTAAGAATTAATATCATGATAAGAAGAGATAACCCTCAAATAAAAATAAACTTTTCAACCATCCTTAACACCATACTATAATTTTATGAGATGTTTAATTATTACTTTCAACTCTGTCATCTATAAAATTTAATTAATGGATCAATTACTTAATTATGCATATTTTAATAATTAATTGAAGTTTTAAACTCATTAAAATTTTAGCCATACGTATTCCTAAAATAACAATAAACTACATTGGAACGTTATAATATTAGTGATTCAAATACTCTCCGTTATCATCAAAATATAAACATTCTATTATATTTTAAATACATTTAGTTACAATATTATATTAAATCAAATTGTTAACTGTCGTAAACCTTTTAAATAAAATTCAAAATAAACCTTTAAACTATCCCTTTTCCTTACAATGCATTTTTTACTTTTGTCATTAAATTATAGTTCATATTTTAAATTCGGTCATCAGAAGCTTTTATAAAAATTTATTTAATTAATTATGCACGTTTAAATAATTAATTGAAATATTAACAATTCATATTCCTACATAGAAGCGTTATAATATTAGTGGTTTAAATAATTGCCCTTATCACTACAAATATAACCTTTATAGAATATAAATAAATATAAAATTTCGATAACCTAAATTTTAATTTCTTTTAAAATTTCATTATTAAACTACTCCTGAATTGACATCTCTCCATTCAAAACATTCAACCCAATTTCAAGCATTTTTATCATCATAAAAATCCTCAACTCAAAACGTTTAACACCTTCCATCCTTAACACCATAACTATTAATTAGTGTATTTAATTAGGTCATTACAAAAATGTATTAACCGTAGTCCTAATACATTATGAAAGTTGAAATAATTACCAGAAATATTAAACGATTCATAATCCAACATTGAAGCGTTATAATATTAGCGATTTAAATATTCTAAGTTATCGCTACAAAAATAACCTTTATAAAAAATCGGTTATCAAAATCATATGTTCAATTAAAATCCATTGATATTTTATTATTAAACAACCCTTGAATTGACATCCCTCGATTCAAAACATTAACCCAATTTCAATCATTAATATCATCAAACAAAATTTTTAGATTTTATTAACTTTGGCCTTAATTAATTAATTACTCATGTTTAAATAATTAATTATAAATAAGTAACGATTATACTACTCATAATCCTGCTTCGAAGCGTTCTTATTTTAGTGATTTAAATACCTACTGTAAATATAACCTTTATAAAGTAAAATTAATATACAATATCAGTTATCAAAACCGTGAGTTCAACTAATATCCATTAATATTTTATTTTCAAATCATCCCTAATTTGACATCACTCTTTTCAAAACAAATAGACAATTTTAATCAATTATATAATAACACGAATAATTATCAAAACTCAAAATATACTTTACAACCATCTTTAATCTGAAAAAATAAATTTTTAATTAGCGATTTAGGCTCGGTTATCACTAAAATTTATATGTTTCATTGATCGTAGTCTTGATTGCGCATATTTAAATAATTTATTGAAATATCACACAATTTATTACCTTAAACTCAGAAACATTTATCCATACGTATTCCTAAAATACCGATAAATTTCTTTGAAGCGTTGGTATACTAGTGCTTTAAGTACTTTCCGTTATCACCAAAATATAACCTTTCTATTATATTTTAAATCTCTTCAGTTAAATATTAAATTAATTCTAATAATTAACTCCCATAAACCCTATAACTGAAAATAATCTTTTAATAACTATTCTTAACCCTGTTCTCCTTGTAATGCCATTTTACTATGAGGTTTTTTAAAAAAAAAAATTAATGTTTTAAATTCGACCATTACAAAATATTTTTAAAATTATTAAATAACTTAATTGTACTTATTTAACTAATTAATTGAAAGGTTATAGGGCTCATAATTCTAAAGCGTTCGGTATTAGTAGTTTGAATACTTTCCATTATCACCAAAATATAACCTATATATTATATTTTAAACCTATTCAGTCAGAATATGAAATTAATTTAAATAATTAAAAACAACTTAATAAAATATTAACCAATCTTAGCCATTAATAATTCATGTAATTGTCATAAAGCAACTCCAATATTTCAGGTTCTGTTATCTTCAGAGACTAATTTAATTTTATATGTTTTAATGTTTTAATAATTAAAAATATTTTATTTCTATCTATGGGCTATTTTGTGTACAAATATTATAATTCCATTAATTAAGAAATTCGGAAACGTATTTTTCTCAGAGCTGAAAAAAAATGCTTGTTTTTGCGGATAATCTGAAAATTAAATATAACAATTAGAAAAAAAAATCTTAGAATATTATAATGCAAAAACAAAAAAACAATAAATTAACCACTGATATAAAATCATGCATTTTATGCTTAATTAATCATTATGGTTTTAAATATTTATCATTTCATTAAGTATGAAGCTTTTATATGTATATATATATATTTTTTTTTTTTTTAACAGATTTGATATAATTTTAATTAACATATTACAACTCTGTGAGAGCTTTGAAAACGATAACCAACAACTCTGTATTAAACGCACAGTAAAATTATTATGGGAGAGCCATTTGTTTTATAAATTCTTCGATATGGTTCAATATTGAGGAATTAGATAAAATTTAAAATCGAGAAGAAGAATTATCATTTTAATTATTTTACCATAATTTTCCTCTTGTATACCACTGAACGTTAATATGTCAATGAAATCCATCAATAATATTTAAAGAAAGGACTCATATCTGTAACGTTAAAGTTCCTTATCGAACCTAATACACATATTGAGGTCTAGCGGAATAAAATAAATTCTTAAAATCATGAGTTTAATGTAATATATAGTTTAATATGTAGCTATATGTAATATATAGCTAATATTGTTTAAAAATTAAAGTATATGTATTATATGTTATGACATATACAGTATTGATACTTAGGAGCCATTTTGTCATTCACCTCTTATCTTATCACTGCTTTATCATAAATCTGTATTTTAAGTCGAACATAATTCTATATTAAATTTTTATTCATATTCTTCCGTTCAATTGAATACATGTCGTCATATTTTATTTTAACTAATTATTATCAGTAATATGAATATTTATCAGCTATTTTATCATAGGTTCGCTGTATTCTATTTTAAATTTTAATTTAAATAAAAGTTTTACAAATGTAAAATTGGTATTATAACAGTAGGTATGTGGACACAATTTCGAACTTAATGAAAAATATATTACTTTTCCTGGTTACATTATTTTATCATATTTTGGGATAGATATTTAAATATAACTTATAAAAACAAAATAATTTAAATACAAACAATTTAACGAATAAATACTGTTTGATTCAACGATTGTAGGAAGCTGTTAATGTAACAAAAAAAAAAAAAAAAAAAAAAACATAATATTTTATCAATACATGAATCTATGATTTTTTTTTTAAATATTTATTTCCTTACTTATCGTTGCAGATAAATTAAATACATCACCTTACTTTGGATGTTATTTGAAACATTGAATATATTAATAATTATAAAGTTTTTTTTTAATAATATAAAATTTAAAAAATAAATGCTCTGTCCACAGCTCTTCTAAAATATAAAAAGTATTTTTATATAAAGTAGCAATAAATTCAATAATTCATTATTTACTATAAATCACACTTCATTATTTTGTTTGTAAAATATATTTATATTCTATGTTTCAGTCATAATCAGTCCTTTTATAAATATATTAAATTCCATTATCATTAAAAACTAATTTGATTTTTTTTTTTCCTTTGATAATAAATGTCAATAATAATTTTCTTTTCTATGCCTGTCAGTTTAAGTTCAACTGGAATCTTGACTGTAAAAAACTATTTTATTATTTATCAAAATGATATTATATTCATAAAAAAAACGATTGTTTTGAAAACAGAATCATATGTACAATTAAATAAATAGGAAAGGAACATTTCATAATTTCCTAAAAATGACCCACTTTACTCTAATAAGTTAGATGTATTAATAATTTATTTTTATATATAAAACTTTATAATACATTATTATTAACGAAACTAGTAAGAAGAGAAAATTGATTTTAAAAAATAAATATTATTTGAAAAAATAAACGTGACACAAAAAATAACTGATAAAATACTATAAATGACTCTGAAATAAAATTTGTAATAAATGGTTTTAGGTTTAGAAAGTTGATGATATTTGTTTCTTTTATATATATAAATTAAATTTAAGTATTCTATAACAACATAATTAATGATACGTTTAGATGTCGCTATTCAGAGGAAATTCAGAGGCTAATCGATTGGCAAGCATCCTCTGATATAATTATAATATAATAAAATATATGGAATATATAATTTTATTCGCAGTTACTACATAATATGGAGCCGTTATAACAGGAATTGGGGCCCGTCAATGGAAACACATTAACAACTGATTGATCCGACCTTGTTAAAATGTCAGCCCGCAATCCTAATTATACAATGGAAGAGGGGAATTGATAGCTATATTAATTAACCGAAACCAATATACCGAATAATTTTTACACCAGTCCCCCCCCCCGTTTTAATGTTTTATTATTTTGATTTATTTTTTTTGGAAGAGCTTATATTATTGTATTTTTATCGAAAATAAATCATTTAAAATTACTCCAATGAAGATCTGTACATATATTTTTTTTTAATTTATAAACTTCCAGAACTAATTCAAATTAGTCCCCCTCCCCCCAAAAAAAAGTATACATCAAATTATTTTTAACTACGTATACAAATAAGAAAAACGTCACAGGAAGTAGTTTGAATTTAATATGCATATTTTTTTTTAACACTTCATATTTTTTTTCATTATTACTTACAAATATCAAACTAGTTGCCAAAATGCGAGACCAAGGCGAGTCTTGTACTTGCGTACTCAATCTTGGTCTTGGTCTTAGTCTTGCGCAGTTACTTATTAGCTTATTACAATAGAGATATTACTGTAATTTTA